GGACAGCATGAAGAGAGTGTTCAGAGAGATTTTAGTGAGTAAATCAAACTAAAACCCTCAAAGTCTTGGATAGTAATTACAACCTAGCCACTGTATATCAGGCTTTAACTGGGCCAATTTGTATTGTGAAGTCTAAACTGGGTCTTAATTATCACTGTAACATGTAACACCAATGTTACTGCGCACATGGGAGAGTAACCCAATAAAGTATGACTAAAGTTAAACCTCTTTCATGAAGCCTGCAAGAACAAAAATCCAAAGAGCATGCCATGTTACGTTGCCCTACAGTTCAGAAATAAGAAGCCCACTTTACAAATCTGCACCACTCTCCATTTTCTGAGTTTGCTGAGGTGATGAATCAAATGTTTCAGTAATATTCCAAAAATGCAGATTTGTAGCAAAGGCAAAAGCAAACAAAGGCATGTTGCGAGACATTGCAAAAAATTTTAAAAGTATTTTCCACCCCCACAAATGGTTGGATTTCACCATTTCTTGCTTAAAAGCTTTGGCAAATAAAACAAAATTAATCTTGCCCAGGAGACCACAGCAGGCAAACTATACGCAATCGTGTGCATGCCAATTGTAAAGCTGCAGGTTGTCAGAGTAAAGCAGGCAGACAGCTGCGTACTTGTGATGTGATAGGGAACAGAGCTTTAGGGGAGGCGGACTGAGAGTCTGCACTCGATGAGCCTGCACTTGTGCTTGCAGCGCGACTGCCCATCTGTAGCACAGGAAAAGAATAAAGGATAAAAAAATGTAAATTAAAAAAATCTTCAGTTAAAAGAAGGGTAAAGTTTCCTTTATATCAGCCTGCGTGAACACAGAGAGCTGCTCACACATCCCTTATTTCTCAGGAGAAAGTAATGTTCTGCCCTATCAGAGTGCTGAGAGAGATGAAAAGTGGTAAATGGCGTCATGAAGATTGTACCTGTCCAGCAATGGGGAAAAGAGGCTTTGTGACATCGGGCTGGGCTGAGGAGACAGTGGCAGCAGGAACAACAGGTCTAGCCAGCATGTTTGCAGCAGGGGGAACCTGAGCCATGTGTGTGATGCCTGGACGATGGCCCACCGGAGGAGGGATGCCTGACACGAGCAAAACAAATTCATTACATAAGGGAAAACAGCAACGTTACAACATATTTACAAACTTTCATTTAAAAAATGTCATTAATAATTCACATCAAGGCACTGATGTGGACTAAGTGCTTTCTGGCAGGGCATTACCTGGTGGCACACCTGGCATCATTGGAGGCATCCCTGGAGCTGGAGGCATCATCCCACCCATTGGTATCATCCTTAATACATAAGGAAAAATACCCATGTTTATTTATTTTTAAATCTATGTTCATAATACCAACACACAATGAGGAAAGGGTTCATAAGAAATGACAGTCCACTACTAATCCTAAGCATTTACCCTGGAGGCATTCCTGGCATTACAGGAGGTATTCCTGGGATCATTGGTGGCACACCTGGCATCATTGGGGGGATTCCTAAAAAAAAAGAGAATAATTGAAACTCACTAAACAGTAAAACTTATATTATGCATAACATTTCTATTTACATCAGTATTCCTATTTAAACATGGCATTAATAATACCTGAATTTAAAAATGGCTGTCTGAGCATGACTGTATTATAAAAGGCAGAGTTTTTAAATTAATTACAGTATGAAAAGGCATTTAAACCTGTCCAAGATCAAACTATGAACTGTAAAAAGAACAACCTGAAGCAGAGGAGTTAGAGAAAATTGACAGGAGATACAGCAGTGGGGTAAACCACATCAGAATCCCGTTTGAGGTTAAACACTGGACAAAAACTGAATAGAATAACTATATAATCAAACTTTGTTAACAGCATAATACCAAATACAGCATTCTTTTATCTAAATATAAAAGGAAGAAGTGTTGCTTTCAGGAGTGGCAACAGCAGTGGGAGCAGGAGACAAAAGGGAGACACCTTTACTCATTACAGAGGAGAGTGGGCTGCACAGTAAGCAGGGGTGGGAACAGGAGAGAACAAGTTAAGATGACCAAGATGAGAGTAGGACATAATAATTTGAACAGAACAGTCATGGGGAATCTCCGGTCCAGGTTGTGTGAGCAGTGCTAGCAGCCAGAGACAGTATAGCATGTACTTATGTCATGTAAGGTTTGGGCAAGAAAGAGAAGTGATGCATAACAGATATTAGGAAAATAGGCTTGATGGAAATATTAGTAAAAAGCATTTTAGAGCAGTGGTTCCCAATGCGTCCAGCCACAGGGTCCAGACTCCTCCTTGGTTAATGGTTCAAGGTCCACACAGTTTAATATAGTCAGCACCATACTTGCATTTGGCCATGTCATGGAGCTAGTTTGCTGACTCTATTAAGCAGCTTTCCGCTAGTCACTCTCTCTACAGCAGGAAACTTCAAAATGAAAGCTCTGTCTGTGCCAGAAAATTACTGTACTTAAATATAAAGTTTGATCTTTACAAACTTGACACATGTGCAAGTCACTTGTGGTCCATTCAGAATGAATCTGCAACTCACTTTTGGACTGCAACCCATCACTTGGGAACCACTGTTACAATATGGAAGGAAAGGAAAGGTAATAAAATGGCTCTGGACTAACAGTAGGGATCAAAAATGGAAGATGGCACAGTAATGGAGTACACCCAGAAGATGACAGCAATGCAAAGCTGTGAATGTCTTCATAGAAGAAGATGAAGTAGCATTCTTTTAGTTTTGCTCAGTAGTTGGCTTATTGCAGCTGCAGTAAAGTCACTGTTCCCTACCTGAGTAGCTGCCTGGTGGTATCCCTGGAGCAGCAGAGCCAGGAGGCATGCCAGGCTGGGTCATAGGGGGTATGTAGCCTGTCTGTGGCTGGCCTGCTGCAGGCTGCTGGAAGGACGGACCAGGCTCGTCATCGTCCTCGTACTCATCGGAGTCATCCTGGTTCTGCTTTTTCTTTTGGGTCTCTGAATATAGGAAATAGCATAAGTCTGTAGAACAGACTACAACACAGCAGTGCATTAAGGTATTTGGATGCAAATACCTTGATTCTTCTGTTCTAGCACTCTTCTTCTCTCTTCCATGTCTTTTTCAGGAATACCCTCCATGCCATATATCTCCAGCTCAATGTCTGTTCTTCCAGGTATAGCATTTGGGACTCCATCAATGGTCTCTTTATGCACCTAAAAGTAATACAGGGAGGTGATGCTATTTCATAGTCAAATGACTTCATTTGGTTATATGAAGGTGGTTTGCATTGGTGTCTTCCTCACCTGCATACAGTGGATTGCAAGCCCAGGGCCAGTGTACAGCTTTTTATGACAGATGTGACACTTGAAGTGTTTGGCCTTCTGATGCTGAATGAGGATCTTTTCATCGTCAAAATCTCTGTTGCAGTACCTGAGAGGAGGGGTTTAGGAACTTTCCCTGGAAAACCTCCATCACTGTAACGTAACGTACAGCTGGTTGACTGAATAACATGCTAACAACACACATGATATCAAAGACTAACATCGCCCGTGTTTAAAACTCTGTCGCTCCATTTGTAACTTCAGCAAAGCCGACTGCAACTTCAAAATTTGACATGTTAGCTACATATTATGAGCCTGCTAACATCACACTGTGATTATCATAAGAAACTCAGGTTAATTTACAGTTAGCGTTAGCTTAGTAAACAGATTATATCGCTGTCTAACAGAGGAACAGCTCATTATAAACGCAACATAACGTTATAAGACTAAATGTAAAATGTGTGAAAGGATACCAGCACCAAGGCTTCATTTGCTTTTTCTTCTTTCTTCCCATGTTTTCTGTACCGTCAGTTCGCTGCCTGCTAATCCGTCTAACAGCTAACACACCTACCAGGGCAGAGCTGAGAAAATTAAAGATGGCGGCGGGTCTCTGCTCCAGCCCCCAAACAACACACTGCGGCCTCGAGGCGCCCCCTGGCGGCCAAAATCAGCTACTGTTTCTGTATATTTATTTCTTACAAGGATGCTTTCTTTGGTGTATTTGATTTTTAAGATGGAGCGCCGGTTAAACTCCCTGCTTTCCATTAGCAGGTCCTTCTCTATTGGAAATTAATATATTAACATGATTTCACACCATATAACCCTCCAGTTTGGAACAATAGATACATATTGCTCAGCAGAAAAGTGTATTTAGAGTAATGGGGTACCAAAGGGAATGGAAATGTGTTACAGCATGAGGACTTCTGAGAGAAATTCCAACTCCAGTGTTCTGTTAAGGACTATAACAGACTGATAAAAGCCATACCAATCTCTCTGAGATCAATGGTTTAAAGAGGACATTCAGTATTCTGAGGTCTCTCCTGGGCTGAGACAGCTTTGCTAGCTGTGACAATAAATGCAATAGTAGAATTATTAGATCCTGTCTGTTAAAGACATGTTTTCCCAACCCAGTAAGAGGGAATTATATTGTTACGGGATTTGATGTTAAAGAGGTTAAGAAAATAAGGAAAAGATATATTTCATGTCCACTTCCTCCAAAGGTAAAAGAAGTGTATTTCAAAATCTTAAAGAAGATTTATCCAATGATTGAATTCTTAAGGTTGACAATTTGTAACAAGGAAGATGAAAGTTTGGTACATGTCATAACTTATTTTTCATAATAAATCTTTCATTTCTGCCTGCTAAGTACCACACCCACAAATGAAAAGTCAGTGGTTATAAGCCTCTCTTTCCTGTATTCAAACACGAACTCAATGTGTATATGGATGCTATTAATATTAAAAGAACTCTAAACCCACGAGGACTGATGCTGGAGCATTTTTGACTGAAGTTGGTCTATTGAAGCATTGTTAACCCTATTTTTCTCCTCCTATAACAACAACAACAACAACAACATAAATAATAATAATAATAATAATAATAATAATAATAATAATAATAATAATAATAATAATAATGCATGTTCTGCCCAGGAACCGATATAAGAACTCAATATCATAGTCGGACATTATTGAGAGCGTACACAAAGGTTAGCGCATGCGCACAAGGCACATAAACGATAACAGATACCTTAAACACTCCTGCAGTTGGAAGTGTTGCATATACGCTGTTACCGTATTAATATCAGCCAGAGATCGATAACGTCAGTAATAAATATCTAATAACTTAGCGCAGTTAAGCTGTAGAAACACTTCCTTATTTTCCGCCGTTGTAGCCGGCTGCTAGCTCGCTCCGTGCAGCAGTAGGATCATGTTTACCTCCCAAACCTCGTCGTTCCAGGATTCAATCGACGTGGAGGAGAGAGATGACTATGACAGCGAAGAAATCGCTGGCTACAGCCAGAAGATACAGCTGAACTGCTACTACACTATCTATCTTTATCAAGGCACAAGGTAAAGGTCGATCATACTTGTCCCAGTTTCTGTTTGCTGTAGGATGACAGCTCTGCTTCAAATCTCTGTCTCTAATATAATTCATGGGAATTTGCAGGAAGTGTTGCGTTCATAGCGTAATGTGACACATGTTAAGAATAATAATATTAATAAGGGATTTAAATATTATAAACTATTATTTTTCATCGTTTAGTTATTTATTATTTATTTTTTATATTTATTATAATTCTAATAATATTCTAATTCTGCAGGACATCACACAATTACTCTTTTTTTCCTGAATACAATCAGCTCTCTGGTGTGTAATGACTGTGTGTTTTTTCCTGGGTCACTGTTTTAATTATGCCAGTCTATGACTCTTATCTTGAAGCGCTCTTTAGGGACTGTACTTTATTTATCAGAGGAGGGGTGTGTCCACATGGAGCCAGTGCAACAATGTGCTTAACACCAAAATGCAAATTCCCCCTAACAAATTGCATCATTACACAAGCAGTGTGTGTGCTTCAGCAGAATATGGGTGCACGACAGCCACACAAAACCAACATAATTTAATGAGCACACACATCACGCACACATATAAGCATGCACACAGCTGGTATTAGCAGCATAAAGACCGTTTCCCAAAATAAACTGGAACACACACAACAGTGGTGGCAGTTGCCAGAATATCAGGAACTGGGCACGGTGGCCGTTATAACATTTATAAACTTACCCCTTGATGATTTAAAGTTAAAAGAAAAAAATCATTAAGTTGCAAAAATTTAAGTGATTTTTTTTAAAAAAAGAAAACATGTCTTTCAGGCCCACTTGCAGCTTTTGGGGTTTGACAGAATTTAAGATACAAATTTAAGATAAAATACAAATTATGCCCATTTAAAGCTGAATGTACCTCCCCTAAGCTAACTAAAGAATCACAACTCCCTCCCCATGGCTAAAACTATTATTTGAAGTGCCACCCCTGTTTTGCACCACCCCTCCTTCTAATAAATAAGGAACAGTCTCTTAGTTTTTGTAGTCCCTTGTCCCTGAACCTGCTGCCAGTGACGCTCCTGCAGGTAAAACCATATTAATACATTACTACCAGGTGATGAGTAAACTGTCAATTGTCTTAGATCTGAGGCTTCTGGGGAAAATGTGGCATGGAACCAGAGACGAGCAGACTCCACAACCAGTCAGGATGACTTTAGGTAACAAAGGAGACACCCGCCTACCTTCTGGTTGCTTTCAGTGGTCATTTCTCTTTGGCTTTCACTGTCGTGCATTGGTGTATCCACGGGCTGCCACAGGACATCCAGTCAACATGGAATCAATGCTATTGTCATTCGTCATTTTGTTCTGATTGCTCATTGCTGTGCTGCTGAGTTACATGGCCTTTAGGTCTCTCATAATCTGAACGTGTCTCCATTTCCATGTGTCACGTAGAGTTTGCAAGATGTGAATGAAATTCCCTAAAATGTCTGGGTACAGTGCTGAAGTATAAAGGCAAAATACGTTCTGACTGTGACTGAGTGTGTATTTTGACGCCCAGGCGGTGGCACGGTAACAGCTATGTGACTCAGTTGTGTGTTGTGTTGGTTGTGGCTAATGCTCATCAGCTTTCTCCATCTGTTCTCCATTGACTTGAGTGGCTTCCAAATTCCTCATTGCCTTTACTGGCTGCTTGTATCCATGCTGACTTTCTGCCCCGCCCACAGCCTGACACTAATTGACAGCAGCTTGCCATCAGAGGCGGAACCTGAGCTGCGCACCTACATCTCAAGGAGGCTGAGCAAGGGTGCCCTGCTGGGAGGCATGGGCAACATCGCCACTGTGGAACTCAGGTGACAATTTTACATATTCCCTCACAACTTTTTGCATCAGTAATCGGACATACTGACAAAGAGGGACAAATAAAGTGAAGACTTCATGACACAAACTCTTTCTGAAAAAGGTTCTGCACTCCAGCTTTAATTCAGCTGGACATTTAGGTTCAGAGTTGGACGAAATGTGTAAGTTGTTTACTGTTTATTCTTCGCAGTATCCCCGAGCAGGCAGTCGGCTGCTACTGCTGCCTTCTGGAGCAGGAAAGGTCTCCTGAACAGCCCGATGCTGATGGAAACGGATATGTCATCTGCTTTATGGGCGGCTCTGAAAAAGGACTGAACTTATATCCTTTGCATACAGTTGTCTCTTGCATAGTGTCCTCATGAAATCAACCTTAGTTATAAGTATCATCCAACATCTTCAGCATTCATTATGCTGGTTTTATCCCTTGTCTTTCCTGCGTTTTGTTACCTCCACATCTTTGCAATTTAACAGGTAATAGTTCCAATTCCTTGACCCCATACACATTCAGATTAGAGCTTGATAAATACGTCCAAGGCCTGCACAGCAGCCTGCAAACCCCAGAGGTATGAGAGTGTAAAGACAGTATAATGAAGTTTTATCTTTGTCTTTACATTATTAATGCAATATGGATTTTGCTCTGTGTCCCTGTGTGTGTACGTCAGCTGCAGAACCTTGAGACGGAGGTGCGTCCCTATCTGAGCCGGTGGTACGAGGAGTCTGTGATGCACATTCATCGGGTGGTGCAGCTGGTCCAGAGCAACATCAGCTTCTTGCTGCGTGCTGTGAGTCAGGAGTGCAGATGCTTTTCATATAATTTCACCATAAGAATATGCCACCATGTAAAACTACAAAAATTTCAAAGTGTATATATGTCATTTTCTCTATGTAGGAATTGTGTTTTAGGGGTTTTGTTTGGTAAACATACGAAGCCATGAAAAAAAGCTGAAGAATATAAGATCACCTCAGAAAAACAGATAGCCACAGTGTGCTTTGCCCAGGTTTGCACTTACAATGAAGCCTATTGGTATTTGGTTTGTAGTACTCATACCGCTAAAACAATTACAGTTTAAAATTCAGCACCAATGTGTCTTTCTGAACGATATAACACAATGAATGGCAGTCATTATGAAGAGTTTTTTCTCATGTAAGGAAACAATAGAAAACATTATGTCAAGAAAACTGCAATCTCGGAACCCACCAGCTATGACACCAATAAGCCTCTGGTGGCGAGGGCCAATATTTTAGGTTGATCCGGTGTAGCCAGAGAATATGTGGGCCAAGGCATCCTCTTCCGTGTGCTCGTCAGTACGGCTAATCTCTATAAGCAGATATCAGCATATGAATGCAGTTAAATTTTAAAATTTTAAAGCTAAATTGCATCAGAGATTGCATTTCAACCAATTTGTTATACCTCTAACATGGGGCCTCTCTACACCAGGCCCCAAGGAAGTGTGCTGCACTTCAAAGTCAGTTTGACATAGTGGCACTGGCCACACCATGTAACTACAACTTCTAAGTCCGTTACGTGATGCCATTGGGTCCAAAAAAGACTTTTACAAAAAGACTTTTTCCAGTGTAGACTTACATTGGGAAAGAGACGTCAGCATCACAACCCCGACGATATGACTTATGTCACTACCAGGATTTGATCCATTGACCTCAATAATATTTTTTGTCTAAAAGAGCAGCACAATTAAATCATTTTACCCCTGTTCAAGTTAGCAGAGGGCTAAACCGGAAGTTAGTCACTCGGCCCATTAGGTCTCTACTGCGCCCGCTCTATGGGCTGAATAATGAGCAAGATTGGGGTAATTTTACACCCAGAAAATCAAATTTTTTGGCTTCGGGTGCAACTGAGCAGCTTTCATAGGAATGAAATGGGCCTTGCCTCCCACGCCTTATCCAGTTTTTGTTATACATGCATGCTCCACACAGACTGTTTACCTACCGTTTAAACCTGATGTTCAATACTTCTCGGACTACAAATGAAAACCAGAACACTTCAAAGCTGAAAGCTTGTCCCCTGGCCCACAGATTCTGGATACATATGCAGAATCAGTTTATAAAGATTAACAGAACTGTAAAATGAGGTCTGAAGAGTATTGTTAGCAAATGTTTCATTTCATTTTCTGTATACAGGCTCTGAGTCACACACACGTGGACGTCGTTAATTCAGATGAAAGGACAAAGGCTGATGTGTCCAGGTGAGTCAGATAACAGTCCCCTCAACTACACTAACACATCTTTATATCCTAAGAGTGCTAAAAATGTAGCAGCCTTGTTGTTTATTTCTATGTTTATGTGTTATGTAATATAATTTTTTCACATGACATACTGAATGCAATTATCAGTCTGTTTGTTAGCTGTTAAATGTCTGTTGTATTCTGCACCAGGTTCATCAAAGCAGCCAGTTGGCAGGGCCTGTCCCAACAAGACACAACGACAGCTTCTCTGTGTAAGGCGATCTCAGAGGACACACTCTCTGACCTGATCATAGACTGTTCCACCAGCCCACCCACACTCTCTAACACTGGTAAGTCATGACATAAACACGATTAGGAAAGATGAGTTTGTATCTGTGTACTGTCAAAGAGTCTGATCAAGATGTTTTCTCCCCCACAGTCAGTAATCGTTTCTGTGATGACTGGATTCAGGCATTTCTGAACGCTGCAGAGCGATGTAATCCTTTCCTGCTCAGACAGATTCTGGAGAACTTTAAACTTAAGGTGAGAGACTTTAACAAGGTTTCTCGGGCTCTGGATCCCTTTTTCAGGTCCCAAAATTTCCATGACGGTTACAGTTTTGTAATTGTCAAGTTGTAGTGAATTTGAATACAACATACTTTTATATTTTTTGTATATTTTATATGAGTACAGCATCTTTAGAAAAATACTGATTGCTGATAGTTTTTGTTCATGAAAAAATTTAACAGTTCTGATGACCTTTGGTAAAACAACATAAGACAGACGTGCTTCAAATTTGTATATTTTTGTCACAAAATTCCACCTGCCCACAAGATTGAGAAACTTTGGACAACAGCTCTCACTTCCTCTTGGCAGATACGCAAAGTTCTGATGTCTTACAGTGCAGCCACTCTTTCATCCAGATCACTTCCCTTTTTAAAACACATTTCCTCCTCTCTGTCATTCACGCACTCCGCAGGCCATCCAGGACATGAACAGCCTGAAGCGTTTTGTGCGGCAGGCAGAAATGAGTCACTACGCTCTGTTTCGCTGCTGTCAGTTCCTGCAGGGCTGCGGAAATGGGGATGTGTTACTGCAGAATGCCAGGGCGGAGCATAGCGACCTGCCTGAAGCCTGCAGCATCATCACAGTGCTGGAGGAGTTCCTCAAGGAACAATCCCAGGCCCAGGCCTGATTCCATTACAACACCTAACTCCAAGAGCCTGTTTCCATCTGGTATTATCATGTGTCTTTGGTGATCCGATCATAAATGGACAGCTCTGTGTCTGTTTACACCTGGTATTATAATGTGTCTCCGTATGTGTTTAAGTGACCACTAGTGATTGGATCTCACTTCCCCGCCTAGCTGTTAGCATCACACTGATAACATTACCTAACCATTGTACCGTCACTTTGGGGTTTTAGGACCTTTTAATGACTGCTGCCGTGTTAGCTTGTGCTAATTGGGCAGACTTTTCACATACCAACAAAAGGTTTTCTTATCCAGTGGGGCATCAGATAAACAAGGACACCTGCTGAAAGAATGTGGCCATGCAGCACTGACAACATCTGATTATGGTTTGAGTGATCGGATCTCAAGACTCATTCAGGACGTATTTGGTGCATTCAAACCTGTGCTTTGAGCTTTGCACTTGTAATCTTATCTCTAGGGCTGCTCCTTGAAAGTCGGTGATTCGAATCCTTAGTCATAGACCCCGCAGTTTTTTTGTTTTTTTAAATTTAATTTTGTTTTACTTAATTTTATGTTATCGCTAGTCAGTATGCTATGCAGTACTTGTGGGGACGTTTTGGTCCCCAGATTTTGCTGTAAAGCGAGTGCTCTTGACTTTCACACTACTCTTTGGTACAGACAGCTGCAGACTTGATGTAGCAGCACGAAGGCGGAGAAACTTCCCACTGTATAGCTCCGAGCTAAAATTAACTGCTCTCTTCTGTTCGGAAGTGGTGAATTTACAGCTCACAGCAACTTAATAGGATACCGTCTCTGGCTTTTGTTTGATATCTTGCGCCGACAAAAAATGTTGTTGCACATTTCCGATCTGTCGTGAGAGCCATTAGCTTGTTTACTACTGTATGTTTACTACTGACATAATTATGAGTCGGGTATAGCCCTACTGATCACACAGGACACATGTTAATACCAGGTGTAAAGGGCCAAGTTGCAGGGCCTGATTAACATCAGTTTGCCAGATAAGGGGATATTTTGAATCTGCGGGATGTTATGGCAGATTCAAAAATTAAATCTAAAACAACAAAACAAATGTTCCCTCTGCTGGCACCTCTGATGTTTCTCAGCTAGAAGAGTGGTGATCACATGTGAAATATGTACTGTAAAACACTGACACTCAGCTTCTCGTAACCCATCTGTCTTTCTTTGGGGGCTAATAATAGTTTAGTGACTGTAACATCACTGCACTTATTTTAACAGATAAGGTTTGTTGCTAATTGGAGATGATGGCAAACATGAATCGACAATGACCTCAGTGCTCATATCAGCTTATATCTAGTTGCAGAGTTGCACTTTCCTTTTTCCTTTTGCAACATTGGAGTTACATATGTGTAACTATACCTTGAACCAAATATGATTATTCATGTTTTGCTAACTGACAATGATCACAGAACTGATCCAAACTAAAGCTTCTGCTCATTGGGGTGGAATTACTTATTTACTGTCCAAATATTCTTTATTGTAATTTTTTTATTTTAATTTGATTGTACATACTTTTTTTTTTTATAACATACTGAGAATGCACAAATCACTTTTATGCATTGCTTGTTAGATAGGCCTTGTTTTGCTTACATTTCAACCCAATACCTGCACTACTACTATATTATTTTTACCTAATGAAAACTCTATGTACGTATGTCTATCAAGTGACAATAGATGTAAGCTGAATCCTTCTCTGTAAATGCAGTGTTGTAATTTTTGAATATAATTTTCTGTTTACATAACTCTTAGCATTCACCAGCTGTCATGAGAACAAACGGGCACTATGTGACCAGTCACTCTCTACATTTACGAAGCATTTTATTTAGTTTAAAATGTTTTGCAATATTAATACCCACAAAAAAACATGTTCTAAAGAGAAGAAATTGACATGTGGGATAAAAAATACATAAAAGTGCTTACAGTACATGCATGCATTTTATTTTCCTTTCATGTGTACCTGTCACAAGTTTTTGTACTGCATTCAACCCATAAAGGGTTTTAGAACCAAGCTTCAACCATTCCCCTTAAAACCAGTCCAAAGTGTGTAATACAGCAATATGGTTGGTGGTGTATACTTTTAAACTGTGAAGCAGGTGACATGTAAATGAGTCATTTTACTGTTGTGAACCATAGTGTGACTGACCCACAGTGCGTATGTCTTGACATTTCTGTACAGCGTGTTCTCTATAGTTATAAATGACTGTGGTTCTCTGTAGAAGGAGCTGAAATAAATACCTGAGCTCTAATGTCTTTGTCGTGGATGTGCATGTTGTAACAGAGAGAACAGAGGAGACAATCATTTGCACTTGTTATATGAGATATTAGGCAGCCTCACACTCATCACACATGCAAGTTTTGGACCAGATGCAGTCTTTGTATCAAAGGCTGCTGCTTCCCTCCAGTCTGCCAGCTGTGTCCTTAAACTGGACCTCATATCCTCCAGTAGGCTGCGTTGGCCGGCTGATCCACTGCAACCACAAACAAACAGCTGAAAGCCTGAGATATAACAAAGTTTGCAGCTGTTTGCACGTGTTTTTTTTACCTACATCATTCTGTACAAATTTAAGCAACAGTGCTCTAAAAATCACTAGAACTACCGCCTTTCGGTTGTATGCCTCAGCAAACTGGTCAAGTTGCATTTACAGTTCACATCCATGTCTGTGAAAACATGGATGCTTCACACACATCCTCCACACCTGGTGATGACCTGGTGGTGGACACCTGAGGTTAATGTCACTGATTTAGTTTCTGACCAAATGTCTCCCTCTCTGTTCCTGAGATATGACGTTGAGTAATGGCCAGAAAAGTGTTTTATAAGTGAACATCATGATGTCACAGTGTGAAGTTGACCTTTGACCTTTACAATATAGAATGTCATCACTTCATCATTTTACCCTATTAGACATTTGTGTGAAATTTTGTCATATTAGCGTATGAATGCCCGAGATATGGCCAAAAACATGTTTTGTGAGGTCACAGTGACCTTTGGCCGATAGTTCATTCTTGAGTCCATGTGACCATTTGTGCCAAATTTTAGGAAACTCTCCCGGCCCTCATGAGATACGGTGTTCCTGAGAATGACACAGATTAAAGGTCACAGTGACCTTTAACCTTCAGTTCATTCTTGAGTCCAAGTGAACATTTGTGCCAAATTTGAGGAAATTTCCTCCAGGCCTTCTTGAGATATGGCATTCCTGAGAATGAGGCAGAAGCAAGGTCACAGTGACCTTGACCTTTGACCACCAAAGTCTAATCAATTCATTCTTAACACAAACTGAATGTTTGTGCCAAATTTGAAGCAATTCCCTGAGGTGTTTTTGACATTTTGCCTTCACAAGAATGAGACAAAGGAAGTCAGAGTGACCTTGACCTTTGCCCTATGGCCACCAAAATGTTATCAGTTCAATAATAGAAAGCATTGTGGACGTTTGTGCCAAATCTGAAGAAATTCCCCCAAGGCGTACCTACTGCAAGATATCATGTTCACGCGAATAAGATGGGCTGGATGGATAGACAACCCAAAAACATAATGCCTCTGCCCAAATCTGTCGGAGTGGTGAGGAGGCATAACAAGACAAAGACATGTTGCAAGGACAAGCAGGATTTACCTAAACTGTGATCAGGCGTCCTCCTCAAAAGAGAGCTCGGCACATCATAGACGCTCTCTGTGGGATCTGAAATGAATGAAAAAATACACCAAATTTTTTTTTAGTATTTTCATATAATCAAGTATTTAAAAGCTAGCAGCTGGGAGAAAAAGAAAAAAAACTTAATCTCACTTGGATGTTCAGCACTACTCCTGTACAAGATGGGAGAGTCATACACACCCTCGTTCATCTCTGCTGAAGCGCTGATCTCACAAACCTCTAAAGACATGGCACAACTCATGTTAGGACCAGTTTGGACATTTAACCATCATCATACTGTATGTTATGTATGTGATGTCACACTAAATGGTACATCCAACATATATTAAAATATCTTACTGTTTCTAGGTGGTAAGATGTCATAGTCTTCTTCTGGTCTGTCCTCTGCATTGTTGAACCCACTGGACCACTGAGAACCGTTGAGGCTGGCACCTGAAAACAGAGTACCAGTTAGAACACTGTAGCTGTAGAGCGTCGTCCCTGTGTGCAGCCTGTTCTATTTTGCTCTGAAAATGTTGGCGTGCAGCCTCATTCTGTAGACGATAAATGAGGTGCAGACTTCTATCTGTGTCACCGGTAATGAGGAACCCCGCCCACATTTAAGGGTACTGTTTGCGGTGGAAATGCTAAACGGACCTAGGGTGTAGGTGCCATGTCTGAAGGGTTGCTTTTGGTTCCAAAGGTGCCAGACCGACAGTGTTTGGTGGAAACAGGGCTTTAGTGTAACGTAGATAGTGTGAAATTACTCTGTACGTGTGCCATGCATCTGTACTTTGACACCTTTCTTTATGAAAACCAATTTGAGTTTCAGACCTTGAGAGTGAGGACAGTTTTGGAAGGTGAGGCCATTTTGGCACGTCCTCACCTTTAGACAGACCTTCCCAGGCCTGTTTGAGGTTCAGACTTGCTTTTAATGTTCAGGTTAGAGATAAGGTTCAGATTAAGCATAGCATTGTATTACCAAAAATGTTTTGCGCTGGTCAGGGTCACTTTTTTGACATTTAGCCATCACCAAGCTGTATGCTATGTTACAATAGATGGTACATTCAAATTATATTAAAATATCATACTGTTTCTTGGTGGTAAAATGTCATAGTCTTCTTCTGGTCTGCCCTCTGCATTGTTCAACCAACTGGACCACTGCGAACTGTTGAGACTGGCACCTGAAAACAGAGTACTAGTCAGAACACTGTGGCTGAAAAGACAACTCAGACAGTAATTCAGTCCCATCTACAGACATGTTGGCTCTCAGTATATTAGTGTGGAGACCCAATTTGAGTTTTAGACCTTGAGAGAGAGGACAGTTTTGGAAAGTGAGGACATCACCTTCAGACAGACCTTCCAATATCTGCTGGACGGTCAGATTTGGTTTTAATGTTCAGGTTAGAAATAAGGGTTTAGTTCAGGTAAGGCATTTAGTTGTGATGGTTAGGGTTCAGGTATGGTTTAGGGCAGTGTCTCTCAAATGGGAGTATGTATACCACTGGGGGTACTGTTCATATAAGTTGCCTCCCTGCCATTGAGAATGACAGAGATCCTCAGTAAAGCTCAAGCCCATGTTTCTCACTAAATTATAAGTGCAACTTATCAAAACGACACAGTTTAATGCACCTACAGTGCTGTCCTTGTGTTGAATAATTAGTTTGCCATGACTATGGGGATGGATTATAAACATTTGAAATGTAGCATTTACAAGTTTTTGTTGTTATGGCATAGCACTGTATTGTACCTCTTTGGTTTTTTCTACCAAAAATGTTTTGCCCTGGTCGAGGTCACTTTGGACATTTAGCCATCATCAAGCTGTATGCTATGTTATAATAGATGGTACATTCAAAGAATATTAAAATATCTTACTGTTTCTAGGTGGTAAAATGTCATAGTCTTCTTCTGGTCTGCCCTCTGCATTGTTCAGCCAACTGGACCACTGAGAACTGTTGAGACTGGCACCTGAAAACAGAATACGAGTCAGAACGTTGTAGCTGAAAGGACAACTCGGACAGTAATTTAATCCCATCTTTAGACATGTCGGCTCTCAGTATGTAGGCTTAGGTCCTCACCTTCAGACAGACCTTCCAAGGCCTGTTTGAGGTTCAGACTTGGTTTTAACGTTCAGGTTAGAAATAAGGTTTAGGTAAGGCATTTAGCTGTGATGGTTAGGGTATGGTTTAGGGCAGTGCCTCTTAAATGGGAGGATTACAGTATACTCCTGGGGGTACTGTGGAGTACTGTGAGACTTTTTTTTTAAATGTCAATCTAAGTTGCCTTCCTGCCATTGAGAATGACAGATTTACATTTAGCCATCATCAACCGGTATGCTGTGTTATAAAAGATGGTACATTCAAAGAATATTAATATATCATACTGTTTCTAGGTGGTAAAATGTCATAGTCTTCTTCTGGTCTGCCCTCTGCATTGTTCAGCCCACTGGACCACTGCGAACTGTTGATACTGGCACCTGAAAACAGAGTACTAGTCAGAACACTGTAGCTGAAAGGACAACTCAGTTCAAGACTATCAAGCCAGACAGTAATTTAATCCCATCTATAGACATGTGTAGTGTAGTGTACATAGTGTGACATTACTATATACCTCTACCATGTATCTGTACTTTTACATCTGTCACAGTGAAAACCAATTTGACCTTAAGGGTGAGGACAGTTTTGGAAAGTGAGGACATTTTGGCAGGTCCTCACTTTCAGACAGACCTTCAAAGGCCTGTTTGAGGCTCAGACTTGGTTTAATGTTCGGGAATTAAGGTTTAGGTTAGAGTTAGGGTTGGGTTTAGGCAAAGTTGTGATGGTTAGAGTTAAAGAATGGTTTAGGGCAGTGTTTTCTCAAATGGGGGTGCGCATCATCATCAAGCTGTATGCTATGTCATAATAGAGAATACATTCAGAGTATATTAAAATATCATACTGTTTCTGGGTGGTAAAAAGTCATAGAGTCCTTCTTGTCTGTCCTCTGCATTGTTCAGCCCAATGGACCACTGAGAACTGTTGAGACTGTCACCTGAAAGCAGAGTATTTATTAGAACCATGAGTTAAAATGACAACTCAGTTCAAGACTTAAAGGGGAACTTCAATATTTTACAACCTGGACCCTGTTGCCCATTTTTTGTGTCTGAGTCACTAATGGAGACATTGAATTTTGTTTCTCCGCTACAGGCTGCAGCACTCTCACTCAATACTGGACCAACTTCAAAAAATGTTGTCTCCAGCAGTCACTTAGAAAAATAAACATGGGAAATAGGGTCCACGTTGAAAAATGCACAAGCTACCCTTTAACAGTGAATTGGTCAAATAAATACTTGTAGAGGTGCAAATATGCAAATCAATTCAAAGTTTACCACTGTGATGCTGGTAGCTACTGGACGGCAGTGTGCTTTGGTGCACCTCACTGGCCTCTTCTCTGTTCAGCGCCTCAGACAGACATGCAATGCTACTGATCTCAGGGTGGATGTGTCCCGTAGGAGCAGGGGCAGAGAGGGGCCGGGCAGGCAGCAACTGCATCACACTCTCACTGTGTGAGCAGAGGGGAGCGCTGCTGTTTAATCTGTCCCGCTGCTCACACACATCAAGCCTGAGGAGAAGAGAAGTGGTCAGTGCCTGGAACTTGGATTGTTTTAGTTCAAGTTTAGCAGTGGTGGAATGTAATAAAGTACATTTACTCAAGTACTGTACCTAAAATTCAAGGTACTAGTATTTTACTTGAGCAATTCCCTGTTATGCACCTTTACACTTGAAGGTACCACATCTCTACTGGGTTAATTAGCACATTATAACTATCATAACTTTAGCCAGTTATAAAGACTCAAAGAACTGCTCTGACATATAATAAATGCTTAATTTCTGAAACGGAATAATGCCAGTACTTCAGATTCTTCTTTCAAACACTGTCGTCACTTTGGCATGGAAGTATAAAGCATTATGAATGCTGAATTTATAATGCTTTATGTAACCACTTATAATACTTTATAAACCTTGTTATAAGTTGTTATACATGATTATAAACATTTATAACAATGTTTATAAAGCCTTATAAATGTGTTATAATGTCTTATGAATGTGCTCATAATGCATTATAGACCTGACCTTTAAGTAAAGTGTTACCGGATCTTCTTTCACCACTAAAGTTTGACTTATAATGATGGGAAAGTCCTCTTGTTACTTACTGTGTGCCTCTGGTGTCTGAAACCACAGAGAACGAAAGATTCATGGCTTGCCACAGGTGTCCTACCCACTCTTTTCTGAGAGCTGCTGTCTCTGCTGCCTACATACACACAAACACACACACCAGACAGACAGTGGTTTAGAGTCACAATTGACAGGATTTGGTCAGAACTGGCACCCTGAAACCAGACAGCATACAGCCTGCAGATTTATTAGCTTTCAAACAAACCACAGTGCTGACTTACCAACACTTTCCTCTTTCCATTTGTCATGATGATCTCAAACATAAAGCGCTTGCCGTCAACTCTCTGGACCTCTCGCACTGACTGCACCTGACCCAAGACAGATACATTGACAGATTCTTAGGACACCCAACTAGAGACAAAGCAACAGTGGTGGAGAAATTCTCTGTTACAAGTAAAAGTCCTGCATTTGAAATTAGACTTAAGTCAAAGTGCTGAAGTATTACCATCAAAATACACTTAAAGGTCCAGTGTGTAGGATTTAGTGCCATCTAGCAGTGAGGTTGAAACACTGCAACCAACTGTAACTTCTCCCGTGTGCCAAGTGTGTAGGAGAAATATGGTGGCTGATGCAAAACATGAATGGCCCTATCTAGAGCCAGTGTTTGGTTTGTCCATTTTGAGCTACCATAGAAACATGGTGGACCCCGTGGAAGAGGACCAGCTCTGTATGTAGATATAAACAGCTCATTCTAAGGTAATGAAATCACTAACGATTCTGATTATGAACAAATTAAAACATAGTTATAAATGTACACACTGGACCTTTAAGGGGAGACACAACAGGTGATTAAAGGTAAAAATGTTTTTCTTATACACTGGTCAGTTTTGACATTTGGGGCTATATTCCCTATTTTAGACTAGTGGGATGAAAAATGTCCAAAATACACATTTAAGTGTTAATCTTACTTCAGATTTCTGTTCTGGAAATGTAGGGAAAAATCACATATTTAAATAGATGATACTTCATTTTCAAAAACTTGTAATATGAAAAAAAAAAGTCTTTACGTAAATAATAAATGGGAAGATTCATAGTGACATCTATTCTTTTTTTTACCCTATTCATCTATACTGTCTTATTTTTGGTTGAAAAATACATGGAATTTTACAATAAATTTAAAGGCCATTATCAAAATAACCATAAAAAATTGTAACGAATTTAAACATACTCTGAGCCAGAAATCTCCACTTCAGTAGCACTTCATATCATTCATAGCCTGATTTACAAATCATTTTATTCCTAAAAACATGGCAAAAATGATTGTTATTTGGCTGTTGACAGTATTTTCTGATTTACGAGTGATAAAAAGAGAACTCTAAAACTCCCTTTGTAAAAACCGTATGTCAACCAAATGAAAGCACTAAAACCTGGCTTTATCCAATGTTCAGATTTCTGTGCATATCTCATAAGATAATGCCTCATTTGCATATTTTAAAGGTCTAGTATATAGGATTGGTGGCATCTAGCTGTGAGGCTGCAGAACTGAAACTTGTCCTGAGTGTCAAGCATGTAGGGGAACTACAGTGACCGACACAAAAACTTGAAAATGTGAACACACAAATGGCCCTATCTAGAGCCAGTGTTTGGTTTGTCCATTCTGGGCGACTGTAGAACAACATGTCGGACTTCATGAAAGAGAACTTGCTCTGTAAGTAGATATAGACGGCTCATTTTGAGGTAACAAAAACACAATAATTCTCAGGTGATATAAACTCATTTCAATCAGGAGAGGCTTGTTTTTATAGTAACGATGCAGTGGCTGAGGCATATCCGGTAACCGAAGCAAGGTGTGTATGGAAAGCTTGCCGGAATAGCTTGAGACTGCACGTGGCAATCCGGCTGTATGTAAAGTGTCCCGAAGTAGCAGATCATGTTACGTGTAGCTCGGGCCGATATCTTGAATACGTACACTTCACTGAGATCGAGATAGACTGACAATGGAAATGGAGTGTGACATTACAAGTTGACAATTCTGACTGATGTCAGGTGAGACGGGAGAACGTGACGGGGAAGAGATGATTCCACCTCTGCTAAGGAATCAAACTTCAGCTTGTTACCAACATTGAGAGAAATGACAGCAGATTAAAAATTTTGCAGTAGCATCCTGATTAACTGATAGAGATTGGGGTAAAGTTTAATTGGATAAGTGGACGAGTGAACACCCATAGTCAGCTGATTAGAAGTAGCAGTGGGAGTGGGAGGGAAAGAATTGTGAATGAATGAGCACAAAGAAAGTCTTCCTTATGCTGGAACTTACGCTGAGCTTCATTAAAACATAGTAATGAATATTATACACCATTTCTGCCAATAGATGCCCTTAAATCCTACAAACTGGACCTTTAACATAAAACTTTAGACCACACTTAACTAAAAAAATTAATTTAAAATGGTTGAAAGTTTTACCATTTTCATCTGTAGTGTCTCCCCATAAAGTATTACTTTAGAATAATACTGTTGGATCATATTTAATCATCTAATGACTGAAGCTGTCAAAAATGTTGAGAGGCATAACGTAGCATGAAATGGAAAATGAAATTATCTCAAAATTGAACTTTAGCACAGTACTTCAGTAAATGTACCTAGTCTCTACGGCTGCTAAGCACTTTCTCATATGTTAACAGTGATAAGTGGAGGACTTACTGTGTAAATGTAGTAATAGCCTCTCAAGTGCGACTGTGAAGAGAGTCAAGTCAACATGAGAGCTATTTAGTCAGTAAGATCTTTAAAAAAAAAAAAAAAAAAAAAAAAAGATATTTTTGGCTTCAGAGATGAGGTACTAAGACATCATTGACATGAAACTCAATAGAGAATGTAATTCACTAGTTTGTAATTTAAAGAACTTAAAACCACAACAGTTGTCTACTTACAGCACTGCCGTTCTTCTGTGTGTAGAAGAACAAGGTTGTATTTTGAAGCCGGAACCAATAAGTCACCCATCTTATTTTCTAAAGACAAAAAAAACCATCAACCAAAGTCACTTTTCCAGTTTTTTTTCTAAACATATAGTCACATTAAATACCAATATAGTTTGTAACTTACCATAGTATCTTTTCTTTTCTGCAGAAAGCCCTCAAACAACAATTTGGTCCCATCTATAGACATGTTAGCTCTCAGCACACAGATGTAAAACAACTGGAAGTCACAGTGTGAAACATCTACCTGTGTGTGTGTGTGTGTGTGTGTGTGTGCAGTGACTTCCTCCTCATGCAGGCTGAGACCAGTATTGTCCACAACCCCATCACAGATACTCACTTCTCTATTCTGCTTCACAATCGTACATTCAATTCACACATCTACTTTTGAAATGACCACAACCGCTGCTCTTGTGAAGGAAACACAAACACGTCAGTGGGTGTAAATGTCATTTATTACAGATATTTAAAACCATTTTATTTTCCTCGTTGTTGTTAAATTAGCTGTCATTTCACCCATCAAACGCACGTACATGGCTGTGCCGGATCATACAATTCTTTATTGTAAATGCTGGGAAAAAAAAGAGAAGAATGAGAAGAAACACTTTTATAGTTTTAAGGTGGGAGAGGTGCGCTGAATGGCTGTTGTTAATAGCATAGTCTCTTTTTCTATGGTGCCTCTAACTTCATAAAAATATAACATGAGGGACGAAGCTCTATTTGAAAATCAGAGAAGTAAAAACAGAAGCAGAAAGTCATGACACGCCAGGAGGACAGCTTTGATAATACTAAATACAAAAATACATGGAAAATGTAAATCCCTCCATCTGTTTCATGCGGTGCACTCAAAAAAAAAAAGAAACAGACAAGAAAACAAAGAAACCGGTTAATAAATTAACACACAAAAAAAATAAACAAGTGCATGCCAATCATGACCTTTCTAGTGTTAGATGTATCGCCAACACCTCCTGTGGGTGTTGCGTCTGGCTTGTGATGCTGTCTAGAAGTCCGATCCTAAAATTCTTAAGGAATACATACATAATATACTGCATATACACATGACAGAATCAAGTCCCTTTGTGGTGTTGCTGTATATGGCTGCCTCTCTCTGGTCTCCAACCATCTAGCTAATAATACTGACCTGAGAAATAAAGAGGACTGATCAGCTGAGAACATCCAGTGACTAGTAGTGCCTAACCATAGACATATATACGTAGACGCCGTGACTGCATCAGTTTGTTGCTGCGATACGTCAAAGTTGGCGGCAAATTGGACAAGGCAAGACTTGCTTGTTATCACATACAAGTAAACAGGGGTGCTGTGGTTTTTCTAGATAAAAAGCACTATAACCTTATATTCATGATTTTATTTTATTATTTTTTTGTCTCTAGTTAATTAGAATCTTGATAATTTGCCTATAATCACTGCTGGACACTCAAGAGAGGAGTGTGTGTGAGGCATACATGAACTGAATTCCTTCATTTGTTCATTCATTTTCCGTAACCGCTTATCCTGTTGAGGGTCGCGGGGTGCTGGAGCCTTTCCCAGCTGACGTTGGGTGAGAGGCAGGGTACACCTTGAACAGGTCACCAGACTATCACAGGGCTGACACATAGAGACAGACAACCATTTACACCTACGGTCAATTTAGAGTCACCAATTAACCTGCATGTCTTTGGACTGTGGGAGGAAGCCAGAGTACCCAGAGAAAACCCGCGCTGACACAGGGAGAACATGAAAACTCCACACAGAAGGGCTCCCAAACCCTGGAGTTCGACCCCCCCCCCTGAATTTGAACCAGGAACCCTCTGGCCGTGAGGCGACAATGCAAACCACTGCATCACTGTGCTGCCTACACTGAATTACTTGTGCCGTGGTAAAAAACAATTCATCATCATAAGGAATTATAGTAACTCATAGTTTTTAAACCATGGATTTAGCTTATTTTTCTTGGTTGATACTCGTGGAGACGTCCCTATGACGGAGACCGCTGAGAATAATTTTGACTGGTTACCGTGTAGTGAATTTTCTACTCTTCAGTTGCCTATACTGTGCACCAGCCGGATTTGGTAGGAGCTAGGTAGTGGTGCAGCTCATTTGGCGATTATCGATCGTTAAGGCTCAGACATATCAAACCCACGTCAAAGAATTGTTGCGTCACCTCACGTCATCTGTCTCGGCCAAAAAATTGCACATGATTACCCTGCAAAGACTACAGCCGATGGACGACAAGCACGTACATTCCGCACCTGTGTGAGAGGAAATAACTCTCCACACCGGCAGACAGTGGTCATCTGTATTCGTCATTCAAAAACTGGAAAACTGGAAGACCATCTTGACGCAAGTTCGCCAGTTTGCACATTAACAACAAAATCTAATGTTGAAAGAACAGAGAGACGTGCATCAGCTAACAGTTAGACAAACCATCATGAAACGTTTCTGCTAACGAAAAATAATGTTTTAGTGTTTAGTGTTTGTTTTGATCTCATGCTCTCTTGACTTAAGCTCTTTGTTTACTTTCCTCACTTCCGTTTCTCTTCTCATGTGCTGAGCTGAACTGCCAATCAGAGTCATTTCATTCACAGATTATACTGATTATAGACTAACTACTGAAATTCTTAGTAACTGGAGACTTTTTTCCCCTACATAGATCATGAACCCATAAATATAAAAACAACTCATCAGAATCATAATGCTTTTTTTTATCCAGACATAATGCAGCTCCCCCGTATACTTGTATTGTTATACTTGTATGTTTACAGGCCAGGCCTGCCTGGACTAATATTTTGGCGATGTTGACATGATCCAGCAGCCAATGAGGTATCTACGTTTCTATATCTATGATGTCTAACCTGGACTAGACTAGACCAACAGATCACAGAATGTCAGCATTTACAAATTGAATGATGGACAAGTGATTTCAAAAGTAACCTTCCCCTTTTCCCAACAACAAAAACAAAAAAACTAAACCACACTTTCAATGCATATAAAATGTACCTATGATTTTGCTCATTTGTTTCTCGCCCATGTTGCATTGTGGGAAGGAGATGAGGTGGAGTTGGTGGGCTGAGGCAATGGGCCCGGTTGGTTAGTCAGCCAGTCTTTTTGAGTCTTTCAGGTAGGAGGGGAGGGGCAGAGTCAACAGAGGGACTGAGTGGAGGAAGTAGCTTTCTCATGCTGTCTGATCACCGCTGTTTGAGAAGTGCTCTGTACATGGCGAAGCCCAGCACGGCAAACACTGTGGCACCGACGCTCGCTCTCAGCCAGAAGGTTGAGTTCTTCAGGTCCGCCTGAGCCATGTGCCTGTGAGAGGGAGCAAGAGACAGAGAGCAGGTGAGGGGAAAAATTCAGACAAAAAAATAGATGGAGCAGCATTTTAACATGATGAATGGCACTGATGTTAAAACCACAGCGGGATGAGTTGCCAAATGACAAAACAAAGTCATGTGCTTGCTCTCCAGTGGAAACTTCCTAAAATCAGGACCATATATGATGAACATCAGTGTCCTGTGGTGTACCAGCTTGAAACAGGAACACATGCTTTCTCTTGGCAGTTGGTTTAGTTTTGGTTTGAGGAAGAAGACAAAGGAAAGGTGTTGCTCTATGAGAAGCAGCTGCTCTGATTCACCCTGGGCAGCAGGAAACTAGAAAAAATATGACTAATGATTATTAAAATTGGGTTAACACCTGCCCTAAGAAACACAAATCTAGCTGATCTGGCAAGAAACACAAATACTGGGACACTATGCAGACTGTGATGAAAGCAAGCGATGGAAAAAATGGGAAAGGGGGCAGCAAACCAAAATGTGACTGGTCTACAGTTAAGCCTACAACACACACTGGAACCCAGGTACTCCGGTAGAATCTGGGTAGAAACCAGCCTATAACAACGTGTACACACAGCTCACCTGTGCTCCCTCTGCTGGGAAGAGAAACGGACCTATAAAACTTGATCTAGCTGCCTTTAACCTTTCTTGGCTTTGAATGACCAACCAGTGGAACCTGCAGGAAGTTACTGCTTTCGGTATGGTACCTTTGGAACCAAAAGTAGCCCTTTAGACATGGTACCTAGACCCTAGTGTTTCCACTGCAATCATTTCTCTTAAATGTGGGCAGGGTTGTTGTCACTCACTGCTCTGTTTAGCACTCACAGTATTTCCTCATTATCGGTGACACAGAGGGAAGTCTGCACTTCATTTATCGTCCACCGAACAAGGATGCATCCTGACATTTTCAGAACAAAATAGAACAGGCTGCATTTGTGCATTTAGTCCTTCTGAGGCAAGCTCGGGGGTTAAGTGTTGCCACATAAAAACCAAAGTGATGGTCAAAGTTATTGTGGTTAAGGTATGCTGATGGATTTTAGTGTGTATAGAGCCAGCATATTTTCACATCTAACTGGGTGAATAATGTGATTGTTTTTACCAGTGGTGTAGAACTGATGAAGTGGAGGTGGTGAACTACCAGGTAGATGGGTAGGTTACCGAGGAGGAAGTGGGTATATTCTTCTCTTTTATTCTTGTGACATTTGGGCTGATAGGTAGGGGTCGCATATCCCGCCACTACACCACTGATTTTAATGTTGCTGACCGCATCCAACACATTCTCGTCTGTCGATCCATAAGTATAAATTAAAAACATTGCCCCCTCTCTCTCTCTGGATGTGGTTTCTGACTTTACCTTTCTGGGGGAACTGGCTGCTCAGCAGAGGCCTCCATAAAGATGGACCCCTCCACGTTGGATACGGGTGAAACCTCCTGCGTCAGGCTGAAATCCTCCTCTGACAGCAGGTAAACCCCCACAGCCTCCACCCAGCCCAGCAGCCTTCCACACACACACACACACACACACACCCAGTCACACGGTTGACTGGTGCGTGCTCACACACAAAGACTCAGATACAGTAGGTAGTGCTGGGAGATACTGTAATATAATACTATGAATATAATATTGACCCTGCCCTTCATCCGACAGTTACTTTCTTGATTAAAGAATTATTCATTTAGTACATGAAAAGTTTTCAGAACGTGAGGTAACATTTTTATTTCACCCAACCAAAGGTCTTAACACTACAAATATTTTATTTATTTTATTATCAAGGCGGACTACACGAAAACCAGCATTTACATTTAAGATTAAATCTGAATTTTCTGCATATCTATTTGTATAAAAAATTACTTGAACAATGAGACAATTATCAAAATTGCTGCAGATCTTTTCTTCGGACTGACCAATAAATTAGCTCTAATACTGACATCATTATGTGACACAACATACTATGTGAGATTTGTCATATTTTAACATATAAAATGTTGTCTTAGCCTTTTTACACTGAAATTATATGACTGCTGAAATAATTTTTGAATGCCTGCACTTGATTTTTTTTTTTACTATATCTTCGTCAACATAAGTAACAGACTATTTTTTCTCCTTTTTTAAAATATTTTAAATATTTAAAATAAATTAATAATCAAATTAAATAATTAATAATATTCTAATATAACTATAAAAATATTTTAATTTTAAAATATATTCTCAGTATGAACATCAAGGTCAAAAACATACTAGAATTTATTTATTTATTTTAAATATTCAATCTCAGAGCAGGGAGACACCATCAAATATAAAACTGACACTTTGCTCTAAGGCTACATATCATCTTAATTTTGTATGAATGAGATTCAACTGATTCACTATTTTGGCCACATTATTTATCTTTTTTTTTAAAAATAAAAACATTATTTATGAATCTTTTAGGCAGGAGACATTTAACTAGTTCAGATTATGTATTTTTAAGTATCAACAGTTACATCGAAATTACTGTACGTTAGCGCTTGAAAATAAAGCGACGTCTGATTTAATTCATATCACCCAGCTCTACCCAGACCGCAAAGTAAGGAGCTAGAATCACCACCCAAACCTTTGAAGCACGAGCTCAACTATGACGGCATACATCATCAAATGCCACCGCACACTTCAAACACTGACAAAAAAGTCACACACACACACACACATCACATACAGACTGTACACACCACATGGCAGACAGACCGGAGATGCTGAAAACAGATTTTAGAAGATGTCATTTCCCTTTCTGTCCAGTGTGAATTTCTTTGGAAATTTATTTATTTTTATTTTTATTTAGTCTGTCAGTTTTTCTTCTGCTTTTCTCTTTTGCTAATGCCCTTACATATTTTGCAAACATTGCATGTTTAACTTAATTCTTTTGATTGGCAATTTAGATCCGTTTGCAGACTCAAAATAGTTTATTCCCTCTGAAATGACACTGAGTGCTTGCAATTTGGTGACCTAAGATGTTAATTTAATATTGTACACTATGCATGATGACTTAGATTAAATTGTCATACCATATAAAATTAAAACAATATCATCTAACCCAGTCAGCCCAACCCACTTTTGGGAAAACACGCTGGGCATTCAATGTGGTGTGTCTGTCCCTTGCACTGCCATGGCTGGCCCATTAAGTGTCATGCTATTAATAGTGTCAGCAACTCCCAGAGATTAAAAACGTATCAAGACAAAGGGTTAGTGCTGGATGCAACGTTACAGCTCTGCCTAGGTCCATGAACGCCCAACCAGAAGCCCTACATTTCGTTGGGCTAATATAGAAAAAATCTGCAAACACACAACAACACACCTCTGCCGAGTCCAACACCATCCACAGCCATTTAAATCCTGCATTCACTAAACCCCCCTTCCCCATCTTATTCAAAACACCAAGCTCTCTTCACTGTCGACAGATGAGAAACCTCTTCCCAGCTCAGGACCGAGGCATGTCTTTGGTTATCCAGAGAGGTAGAGAACAGGTGAGCCATGCAACACAACAGCAGAAAGATTAGCAGAGGGTGAACACGTGCAAGAGGAGGAGGAAGAGGGGCAGCCAAAAACATGTGTATGAACACCTATAGAGGGGAAGGAGAAACACAAAGACAGGAAATACAAGATAGGAAAAACAGGATGAAATGACAGAGTACAATCAATTTAAACATCAAAGAAACACATTTTAATTTCACATATCAGCTTGTCACATTATAAAGTCTGAACCCACAGGAGAACAAGTGGACAGAAGATTTTATTTTAGTAACGTACAATGAAAGCTGGGGTAGGCAGTTTTATTTTGGCGATGTTCGACAAAAATCCTGTAGTAAACTTTGTGCAAATTGCAATTCAAGTGGACAGAAAGAATACTAAACTTCTTCCCGTGGCTCGTTTTCAGGCTTTAGAAAATCCGGCCTATGAGGGGGGACTTCAGCCAATCACAGTTCATTTCAGAGAGAGGGCGGTGTTCCTACTGGCTGTTCTACAAACGCAGATGTACCTGCACATCCCTTCAGTGAAAAGCTGATTCAACGGTGGAAAACCCATGCAAAAAAAGTTGCTATTCCAGCATTGTCAACAACTGCCCACACTGCAAAGCAACTAAGAAAAAAGAGGCAGACTACTTTAAGGAAGAACCCCCAATCAGCGGCCGCAGCAACCAGAATCCAGCCAGCGCTAACCCAAGCGCTGGGGGACAAGAAAGCTCGGTTCCCCGTCATATTCAGCAACCTTTCTGTTGCTGCCGTTACACAGCTGGCACCAGCTCTGTGATACCCAGTGCTGGGGGGTTAACGCTGGCAAAATTCGAGCCACTACAGCTGCCAACCGAAGCGTCAGAGCTGTTGTTCGCTCTCCTTCTGGCAGGTAGTCCTCAGCGGCGGGGAGTGAGGCGGAGGGATCACTGGGTGGTACGCTAGGTAATTCTAGGCTCATAGTGGTCTGATCAAGAGAGTGACAGCTCTACGATGAAATAAGAATGTGAAAGACTTGGTTACTGTATCATGCATGTGCATATGCCTGTGGTCGTCTGGTGGGAGGGGTTTAGGACAGATGGGGGGGCTGCAGGAGGAGAGTATTCTTTTCTTCTTTACGTTTCTGTTTTTTGCCTCTTCCAGATTTCTGCTTACCCCAGCTTTAGAGTAACTCCTGTGCTTTTCAAAATAAAGTGTCTCCTGTGGGTGTGGACTTCAGCGTTAAGATTAGAAACAAAGACAAAGGGAGACTGAAAACATCACAGATAATCAAATACTCTTTGATAGTAGAGGGTAAAGCCACAGAAAAATTAATAGCCATGAAGAATTTTAATTTGTTTGTGATTGAAAAGAAATCACATTATCAAACATGCAGACATGCAGGCTTTAATAAATGAGGTTTTCAGTTTGAATGAAGCACAAACCAAAGGGAGTGGTTGGTTTCTCTCATTCGCAGTGCAAATGATTTGCATGTTAGCCAAGATTTACAGTTTGCATATCCACTGCAGGACAGGAGGGAGCAAACAGCTCTAAAAAAGGGTCAAAAGTCAGCTTTTAATACTTCAAAATTCACTCCCCAATCCATGATGCATTATTATCATTATTTTCCAAGAGCTTCCTAACTAGACTTGATAATTTGTCAGCATGATTAACTGGCTGAACAATGGATGCGGTGTATCATGGTTCCAAATAGCATTACAACATATACGATTACACAAGTTTTACAAAATATAAATAGTCTCAGTGGATAGAAATATCTATTCCCAGGGTTAAGGGTTAGTATTTGCACTGCACAACCAAGTGACACCATGCATGTTTCCACACAGATTCCAACACACTGTCACCTCCCTGGCTCGCAGCCTGTGTGTTAGCTGGCACAGTGTGGTCACACTTCGCTGTGTCAAACTGTACAGAGAGCAGGTGGGCTGGCTGGAGCTGGAGCAGAGACCAAAACACCTGACATGACCAATGGGCTTTAGGTATATGACAGAGAAAGTGAATAAAATCTTAGCTGACATTTGGCTGTAACGCATCTAGTATCTCCCCACTAGGACTCCTCCTAAATGGTGCTAACAGTTCCCAGCTAACAGTTTAGGAGCATTTCAGGAAGCTGCTGAGAGCTTTACTGACAGAACTTCTATGCTAAGAGACGGGGTGGGAGTTACCCTGTTGTTAAGGATGACATCATGTTTTGTAGCTGATCATAATAGGTTAGGCCCTCATTAGGCCTTTATCTTCTGCAACTGCCTGCTCCTTTGAAGTATGTAGTAGGTATGTAGGTGTCTGTATGTGTGTACTTGTGCATATGTAGACATTTTTTCTTCTTCATTTATTATTAAAAACCAATTAAAATATGTTTTTAAAAAAAGGATGACATCATGTTTTATCACTGAACGTACTCATTATGTCTATAGTAATTGGTAGACAGGTGACCAGTCTGTCAGTAAATGTGAATATG